ACGAGAATACCTCAAAGTATACACAAAGACAGTACAGCTGGAGTATCGACTGACGCGCAGCAGAGTGCATACATTGAGGTATTCTCGTAATAACCTTATTATTATACATCTTTTCCTTCCAAGGATACACCATGGGAATGCCGAAATTCAAAATGTTAAGAACAGAATCAGCAAACTTCTTTGTGTGGAGTCCGGTCAAACTCTGGTGGCAGCCATGTTTGTTTTTATTATTAGAGGATGCTTACGCACATAATCATTCCATATTTGAAATTCGTAATTCCTAATATGGTAGGATGAAAATTCCAGGTAAAATACTGCAAAATTATGGCACGCTGTAACGCTGTAATGTTAACACATGTTATGGATACTAAAAAAAGAGAGAGACGGGTCATTCACTTACGCTGGTTTACTTTCTTCCCATGGCACAGATTTTGTGCTTCGTGATGTTGATGAGTCAGGAATATGTTCCTTCTTTTTCTGAGGAGTCATTTTAGCACCACTGTGGAAAAAATTAAGAAAAGAAACTTGGTGTTTATTATTTGTGTATCACTGAAAACATTTTGAAAACCATTAATTTATATACTGCCCTCTAGAGGTAGTTTTTAAAAGTTGAATGAAAATCTGAGATAAAGTGATAGTAAAACATATCTGGGAAAGAACCACTCATACATAAACCTTTTTATTTTGCAAGTCCGCAGAGGAGTAAGTACTAGTATAAAAGTTTTTCCTACCTATATTCTTTGTTTAAAGTGACTGAAAACTGTTCAATGGTTGCTACCTTCAAAGTCACTAAAAGCAGACAAATTTATATTAAAGTACAAACTGCACATCACCTTTTTACTGGTTCTGGGGCCACTGATTTTGTAACACCATTTTCCACCATTAGATTATCTTGATAGGGGGCCCATGGTGTTAATATTGGTTGACCTGAGGAGTCCATTTGGGCTGAAGCTCTCCTCATATACCTCTTACTAGGAAGTCTTGACACCTTTGGTGGGGAGCGTTTCACTTGAGTTGAAGCTTCAATGGCTTCTTTCTGTGTCCTACCACTGAAAAATAGATAATATTTAACCTTTGAACACCAAATTTCCTTCCTGCTCAAATTGTTCACAGTTACTATAATTTTCACTGAAACTAATATTAATTTTGAACAAAACATACAAAATGTTTTATTTGTACCTTTTGATAAAAAAATTGTTTACAACATTTTAGATGGAAAAGAGCAGACTATGAAACTATTTAATGGATGGTGCATGAAGTTGACTTTGTCACTCTCAAAAGGTTAATGGTATCATGTGCAGTTCTGGTTAGATGAAACTTACACAACACTCAATTTTGTCATGTTTATTTTGAATGTCTGTCACATTATATAGAGGTCAAAGGTCATTCTGATGACACAATATTGACATTATTTGTTGCTTGACACAGTTAAACTGTAAACTGCTTTAATTTCACAAAAAGCTAAATTTTTCATGAATTTCACATGTCAGTGAAAAAACCCTGAAATTTTGTAGGAGTAAAAATTTTGCAAAATTGTTACTTCTTTAATGCCATAAAAACCTTAAATTGTGGAAATTCCTATCAGTTGAAATTAATTTGTTTACAGTATATCAGCAATGCATTGTGGGTAGTGTGGTAATGTAATCAAGAACTTAAAGTATCTGCAACGAGTGTAATATGAGAATCCATTTAAAATCACACACATTCCAAGATAAGAGTTTTTTTCCCATTTATGTTCATATGCACTGTAGTAAATGTTTCCGACTTTTTGAATTGGACAATAACCTAACTCATTTCTATTATCACAATAAAATCATAGATACAAGTATTCAATAATGCCTTTAATTAAAATAAAATATTATCATGTATGTGGTCCTCAGGCAGGATGGAACTTTAGCTCATATCATGAAAGTCATATACTTTGTAATATAAGACCAAAAAAAGATTTTAAGTGTTATCATCATGCATATCAGTTTGAAAGCTGCACCTGCAATTTTGCATATCAGTAAAGGGCGCCATACATGATAGAATTGGGAAATGTTTGTTTTCTGGTTTGGAGGATGTTTGTTGCTCCAAATCAACTTTGAATGAATGTACTTGAAATCATTATGTTAATCAATGTTAAACACTTAACATTAAATATCTTGCTGGTGTACTATTAAATAAGTTTTAAAAAAAAATTAAAAAAAAAAAGATTAAAAACATAACAGACCAGAAGCAAAACCTTTTTTTGACCTGATACAAGAAACACTAAATTTTCTATATGTATAATCAATGCACAAATGAAAGAAAGGTAATCTGAAAGTTCTCACCTATGCCTAAATTTTGAACTACTAAATGCGGATTGACCAGTGATGTGTGGAAGACGAAAGAATGCATGCTGTTCTACGCAGCATCTCCAAAGATGTCTACAAGCTAGTTTACTTGCTAACTCAAAATAATACTCATTTTCTGTATTCTGAAACAGAAATAAGAAGATATATTAATCACAATATATTAACAAAATAACATACTATTATTAGTAAACTCCTTCATTTTTTTTATATAAAATCAATTTAAGGTTTACAATAGTAACAGTGAAGCTTTTATCGACAGATTGTATGAACCATTGCTACACATTTGATCAAGCCATTGCCAAGTTCGCCTGAATCTACTCTTACCAACATCTTGGATAGTAAACTTCATGTATCAACAGAGGAGGATATAATTATAGTATTACAACTTAAATATGTTAGACAAATAAACTCCTTCATTGCTCATATTCAAAGTAATTCATATGCTCAATAGACATCATATTTTTTTTCAAAATGTCCCCAATTTGTTCAATAATTCCAGACAAATGGCCTAAGTGTTTTCTGTTAAATTTACTGTTTTAGACCCAAAATATGGCGAATTATTAGAAATGTTTCATAACACTACATATAGTTGCTATTTTGCACAAAATGTCTACAGCTAATTTTGAAACAACTGAATCCCACTTTGTTACTTACTTCCCTTCCTATGACTCTAAGGATAAACTGAGTGTGTTTGAAGTGCACTTTAGTGATTCTAGGCCTGTAAAAAAAAAAAGTTCAAGTATTTAATCAAGAGAGACAAAT